GAACAAAGATACCCCTTCCCAGCAGTTTCATAACGCTGTTAACATGCGAAAATGTACTGCCTGAAAGAATCACACAATCTATTCCGACTACATGACTAGCCGCGCTATGAAACCGCTGGGAAGGGGTATCTTTGTTCAAGCCACCATTCATCGCCAGTCCTCCCGCACTGCAGTGACGATGACGAATGGACCATTGAGTGCGGTTTTGACCTGGTCAGTCCAGCGCACGGGCGACTTGCCGCGCGCTCTTGTGCCCTTAACTTTCCCCTGCACGACAAGTCGTTCAACAGAAGCGCCAATAGTCAGCCATATTTCCTCTCAACTCAGCCATGTCATACCCTGTACGGGACTATTTCCACCTGTCGTATCGGATTTGACGATATTTATATATTAAGGTGTAACCAAATAAAAAAAAAACGATATTTTTAAGGAAATATTGTCCTTATAGGCTGCCTACTGGAGCTGGGCTGACCACTAGGAGGTTTACCCTATGTCCCTATTTTTACCCAAGCGTTTTTGTCTATGGATCGAATGAATATCATTCACTCAATGTTCGCAGGATCTTAAAAATCTCTTACTACCTACATTGTTTAATGTATCGTGGGTCCGCTCCGAACTGCCATAATGGCCATTTTTTATTTAGGTAATACTTAAGAGCGTTTACGCCGTTTGGCGCAAAAACAGTACTTTTTCAACTCGTTACAATCATTAACCAGTAATACTACAAATATGTTATAGGCATAAATAGTTAGGCAATTTCGTCGTCTAAATAGTTAATTGAGAAAATATTGCGATTAGTTTAGCATTTAAGAATTCTATCAAGATAAGTCCACACAGGTTTTGTAAATTTCCAAATTAGCGTCATTTTACAAGCTGAAATTTTTATAAAAATACNAATATTGCCTGTTATTTATCATTATTACTGTTTTTATTTTATCAAGATATACCGCTTAGTTTAAAAGTTATTATGTTTTCTTTACAATAAGTAATTGGAAGAAAAAATATTCTATAAAAAATTAAAAAAAAATCTCAAAAAAATTTTGACCTCTTTTTTGTCGATAAAAATAGGTCTAGTTTCATCTATTTTCATATGTACACTTTAACGTGACTCACACTGTATATGACAGTTGGTGAAGTTCCAGCATCACGGTGCAACTCAGACTCCAAATATCTAAGCCACATTGCTTCTTGAGTAGCAGTAGCAAGAGACATGTACTCTGCCTCCATAGTCGATAAGGCGACAGTGCCTTGGCGTTTTGAACACCATGAAATTGTTGCACCCTGAAACATAAAAATGTAGCCAGAGCAAGATCTCCGACTATTAACATCCGAAGCCCAATCAGAATCGCAGTAGCCAAGTGCCCTTTTTTCTTCTTTGTTTTGACTAAATATCAATTTATAATCCATAGTTCCTTTTATGTAACGTAGTATTCTCTTAAGTGCTTGCCAGTGTTTCTGTTGTGGTTTGTTATTGAAACTACTCAGTTTGTTTACTATAAAACATATGTCTGGCCTGGTTCCTTGGGATAAATATAATAAACTTCCAATAGCCTCTTGATATGGTACGTCTGTTAATATCTCTTCATTTTCTAATGTGATAAATTTCTCACCAGGATCACATGGCATATAAGCTGGATTACAGTCACTCATTTTGAATCTTTGAAGGATTTTTTCAATGTAAGCAGTCTGATCAATGCTAATTTCATTTCTTAGCAAGTTTTGTTCTATCCTCCAACCAACAAAATGATGTACACAGCCAAGCTCTTTCATATCAAATTTACTTTTCAGTTGTTGTTTTATTTCTTTTCCCATATCTTCATTATTGTAGAACAGTAACAGGTCGTCTACGTATATAAGTACATATAGAATATTTCCATTTTGAGTTTTATGATATATACACGGGTCCACAGATGTACTTTTCAACCCCAGTTCTTTTAACACAGATGTAAGTTTCAGATTCCATTGTCTGCTTGCCTGCTTTAGCCCATAAATGGATTTATTCAATCTGCAGACTTCTTCTCCATATTCGAAAGATGGTGGTTGAAGCATATATATTTCCGTGTCAATGTCACCTTGCAGGAAGGCGGTTTTTGCATCCATTTGTTCTATAAATAAATTGTTCTTGACAGCCAATGCTAATAAGTATCTGATCGAAGTGTGTCGAACCACAGGAGCAAATATCTCATTATAATCAATTCCTTTCTTTTGAATAAATCCTTTGATGACCAATCTTGCTTTGTAGCGCACAATTTCACCATTAGCATCAGTTTTTATTTTGTAGACCCATTTACAGGGAATAGCTCTTTTACCTTCTGGTAGAGTAACCAATGTCCATGTGTTGTTCTGCAGGAGCGACTCGAATTCATCATTCATGGCATCTTTCCACTCGTTTGCATTCAGGCCTGAAAGAGCTTCTTCCATAGTGTCAGGTTCTTTAGTCAAAAAAGCTGTTGCTTCTTTTGGCTCATTCAAGTCTTCACAGAAGTAGGTATTTTGTTTATTCCGAGGTCTCAATGTCATTTTCGAAGGTATCACATCACTTATTCTTTTCTCTGGTGTGTACTCATCATCAGCATCATCAGTGTGATAGCTCTCATCGTCATTAGAAGCCTCCCCCATTTCTGTCTTCTCATTATGAATTATGGTCCTTGAAATCGGAGTGTCAGGTGTATCAGTTGAAGGTTCGCTGTGAGTCTCCTTTCCAGATAAGTCATCAGATTCATTTTGCTGCAAATCAGATAGTGGCACAATTATGCTGTTGTTTTTAATTTTATTCTCCNGAAATTTGATGTTGATGGTTACCATACCAATTTGTTAAACATTTATAAGTATTTAATAAGTAGGTATATTCTAGTATTATTTAACAATTTTACAGATTTTGACTAAAATCGCATTAACAAAACAAATAAAATAAAATGAATAAATCAACATTTAGGTCAATAAAAGTGTGGCAAAATTAAACAAGTGTACTTATTCAATGGAAATATTCGTTTTTGTAATACCTTGGTTGTGGCAAAACTAAATAAGTGACATGCAAAAACTAAATAACTGCAACTTAGTTGTAAAATACGGTTGTGGCAAAACTAAATAATTACATTTTTATTTTTTTTATTTAAAATAATACAAAATAAGATCATCGAAGAATATTGATTTAATAAAGGTAAATTTGCTGTATAAAATATCAAAAGACCGACAATAAAATATTTTTACCCTTAAAAGTTATCGCCATTTTTAACGAAAAAAATCACAAAAACGTGAATATCTCGCAACTTTGGTTTTGTCAGTTATTTAATTCTGCCACGACGGTGACGTATTGTACTTATGTAAATATTATTTTATTTTTATTATTTTGTAATTATATCACACCTAAATTGATCCTATGAAAACCATCCTTTGTTCCGTTTCCATCCGTAATTGATTCATTTCCCTACCTTTTAACTTTAACCCAATCCCACCCTGTCTAAACGCAATGTCCGCAAAACTTATGGCAAAACTGAACGCAAAAATCAAGAACCCTGTCGTGGCTAAACNCCGCTAATCCGTTCTGTTCCGGAGTGTACGGATTGGTGGTCTGATGTTGAATGCCAAATTTCTCTAAAAACAATTCAAATTCTTTGTTTATATATTCTTTGCCGTTGTCTGATCTTAATACTTTTATTCTTTTATCAGTCTCATTTTCTACTAAGTTCTTGAATTGCTTAAACTTCTCTAATGTATCAGATTTGTTTTTCATAAAATAGACATATACTTTTCTACTATAGTCATCTATAAAGGAGACATAGTACTTGGCACCTCCTAAAGAGCTGGTCTCCATCGGGCCACAAAGGTCAGTGTGGATTAATTGGAGAGGTTCACATGCTCTAGTACCAATATTCTTAAAAGGCAGTCTAGTCATTTTACCTTCAATACATGTTGTGCAAATCTGAGAATCTTTTTTATCAAATTCTACTCCTTCAGTACACGTTCCCATTTTCTGTAAGTCAGTGAAGTTGAGATGGCCCATCCTCTGATGCCACAAATTAATATCATTCTCATTTACTGTTGACAATAATGCAGATGTTTCCGAAATATCTCTCAACATATACATATTGTTATGTTGTAAAGCTGACAAAATCAATCTCTTATTTTGGTAAATTCTGCAATATTTTTTCTCAAATATAACTTCACATCCATTTTTTGTCATCTGACTTACAGAGAGAAGATTGGTTGTCAAGGAAGGTACATACAGCACATTTCTTACTTGAATTGTTTGAGGTCTGCCTTTGGAGTCCCTTATCTGCAAATTCACACTACCACACCCTTCTACTGCCACGGTTTTATTATCTGCTACCTTTATACTGCTTACTGTTGAAGGAGACACATCATACATCCATTTTCTCTCTCTACACATATGCTGCGATGCTCCCGAGTCGATGTACCATCTAGTTTTATCCAAGGACTCTGCAACAGAAAAAGCCGCATAATATATGTTTTTTGAANATCAAGAACCCTGTCGTGGCTAAACGCAATCCGCGAGAGCCATAAAGAAAAAAAAAAAAAAAGTATTGGAATTTATCGACTGAAGTCGCTGTTTGGAAGCAAGTTTGATCGTAGTATGGAAGTTTCCGTACCCTGGCAAGTATGGCGGGCTTGATATGGACCAGTTTAGATTTTTGTATGTGATTTTCTACCTAACTAAAATAATTATCGTTTAATTATCAAAGTTTTAGTTTTCATCCGTGGTTTTAATAGACGTGTAACTTTGATATTTAGTAATCTTAATTTCTTATAGCAATAAATTGCCTGACTTGTGTGTTCTCAGACCCCAAAGTAAAGATCTTCTTGTAAAAACTAAAAGGCTACTGCGACACAAGCTATGCTTAGTGCAAAAGCCGCTAGTCATAAGAATACTCTGTAGTAGGTACATTGATTTAATGGCAATAAACATTTTATTTATTACTTATTTATTTACCTAAAGTAAAATAGTTTTCGGAGAATAAAGGGTTCAATAAAAGATGCAGTGTACTCAACAACATTTATTTTGTATGTACATTTTTAACTTGGGTTTATTTTGTACAGTGTACAAATAATAAATGCACAACTTCAGCATTGTAAAACCTTAAATTACATAAGTAAGTAAAGTATTGCAGGCACGCGTATTACGGATTACTTAAGTTTGTTTGTTTTATCAAGTTAGCAAAGCACACGATTATTTTAAAGTTAGGTATTGGTCCCAATATAAATTCATCTTACGCACACCACAGGATTTTGCAGTCATTTTGTTATTGCTAAATACATTTAGGCCAGTTTGTAGTAATTAGTTAATGTAATATTAATAATAGACACAATTTGCGTTTGTTTGTAAGTGGGCACACTCCAAATCAACTGCAGTTAACATGTTGATTTTAGCAAAGTTCTGGATTGTTTCAAATGTAAATTACATTTCATGGTTTTCCATTAACATAAAAGTCAGTTTTCCATAAGCGAAAATATTACAAGATAAAAAAGATAAACAATTTCAAATGATATGTTCTACTAGATTTATCACGCATTGATCAGACGTTTTAACTACCTACCAAAATCTATCAGTACCTACACTATGTTCGTTAATTATTAATTTATTCCTAATAATCTTTCGCATGAACAGTATATCTTTGGTTGAAAACTTTAGTTGTGCAATCAGAATATGTACAAATTACAAACTACGATAAAAGTTTATATTCGAACACGTCATAAATGAGTTAACTGATGCTAATCGAAGACTAGAATCGAAAACGGATCGGATTTAAAACAGTATAGTTGTATCGCCTTAATGAAGGCGTAGCTCTCACCGCGGTAATTAAAGGGAATACAAATAAGTAAAGGTATAATTTTCGTCACTAATGATGAAGTACAAAGATAGCCTTTATGCAACTTAATTTAAAGGAATAGTAATATACACAAGTCGATTGTTTCAGTTCCATGGGCGGAAGGTAAATCATAATCATATTTTATGTAAAAATGTACTTACATTTTTACTCTTTACACAGGTGCCTGCTACGAACCACAATAACAGTGACAAGACACCGCAAGCGTCGCTAACAAATAATGGCACAGTGCTACTATTTCTAGTAATACATTGCTACAACTGTGTATTTTGTTATTGTACATCATTGGAGCTCGGAACAATTATTATTGGAAGAGATTTTTAACTTAAAACTACAATTACTAACAAAATTATTATACAAAACATTATTATGTACAGGTTCAATAAGTAACTAATATTACAACTCTCATAATATCACATAAGTACACGTCGCGTCTAACTCACCATCTACTAGATTAAATTAAAATCGTTTCATGTGTGGATATGTAGTATAGATTAACAATATAATACCGCTACGCCGTCATCGGCGGCAAGTACACGAGTACCTTACAAGTAATGTTAAGTTATTAGTCTCATCACATGAAACAGCAGTCGTTTTGAAGTACACGGTAACGTGGCCGGGCTTTCACCTGATGGCATGTGTGGGGTTGTAGGGCGGGGGCGGCGTCTTGGGGACCTGGGCGCGGTGGACGGGCACGGGCAGGGCGGGCGGCGCGTCGTCGGGCTGGCCGGGGATGACGGCGATGTCGAGCGGCGGCGGGTCGGCGCGCGCGCTGCTGCCGGCGGGCAGGAGCCGCGCCGGGTTCAGTTTGATGGCGTCGTCATAAGTCGGCGGCGCGCCCGCCACCGTGTCGTAGTCCGGCGGCTTCTGCTGCATGCTCTCGTCGTCCGGCATCGAAATCACGTGGATCGGATCGTCAATCTGGAACGGATACGAACGAATGAGAATGATTGTCATTTGATTGAGGCGACAATGAGCAAGTAGGTAGGTATTTTTTACAGAGGTCATGATGCCTATTCTTTTTATTAGCGAATCTTTGTGAATTTGTCACCGCTAATAGAGATTTATGTGACCAAATTAGAAACTTGCGGTATGTTGATTTTTTGTTGCTGTCTTATCACGAGATCGCAGTAGTATTTGCGTACCCATAAAAGGTAAGTTCTATGTTGATAATGAACTGATTAGCGACCTGCTGCTGAATAGTAAAGACGACAGACGCATCAGGACTTTTAGGTCTCAAAGACTACTCGTATAAAAATAAAATGGGCGACTTTCATGAGTTCGCGTAGAGGGCTCGATATAAAAAAGCAAAGGCTGTATCTTACCTGGTGTGTATCCGGGGAGGCTCTATCATTGTGGGGTTGTCGTGCCGGCGACTGAAGCCAGCAGCACATGGCGGCGCAGATGAGCAGCGCCCCAGCAACGATGCAGGCGACGCCCACGTAGCGCACCGGCTCCGCGTAGTCCTCCGCTAGTCCCAGCCAGTTGATGAGTGCGCCGGCGCATAGCAGCACCATGCCATATCTGTACGGCCTCTGCGACTGGCGGCCCTCGTCCAGGGACATGCCTGGAAAGAAGACAATTTAATGGTTAATATTGGTACTTTTGGAAGAAAATGAGGTTGAATGTAGAGAATATAAAAAACTTTTCATTGATTTTGGTCCCTGAGGAGGGGTTTTTCATTATCACTTATGATGTAATATTGGAGGAGGGTACGAATATAAGTACTTGTTTGTCCTTACAAAAAATTTCTCGCATTAGTACCTCCTCCTACAGCGATGCCCTTTACTGTGTTCCAAGAACATAGTATTTATTTCCTTTTATTTTTCGTACAAAAAGATATTCCTATGACTTTTTTGAATTATTTGTCTGATTCTTCTTCTTTTGAAAGTAGCAGTTTTTACTAATATGACCATATTTATTACAATTGTAACAACGTGGGCCTCTCTTTTGGTAGTTATCTGGTGAATCTTTATGGGACTTTGACATATTTTGTGATTTATTTGACTTAATATAGTAGGCTGGAGAATCTGATACTTTTACATCCTGTAACAGCTTTGTCTTTACAAAATCAGCAGTAATTGACACACCTGAACTCTCTATAGCCATGATCATCGGTTTGTAGACATCGGGGAGGCCAGCAAGTAGCAATGTACCGAGCCACTCGTCTCCTACTACAAAATTTATATTTCTGAGCTTATGAGCAGTTGACATGATTTTATTTATGTAATCCTCAATACCAGAGCTGTTCTCCAAATTTGTTGATATTAAATCTCGCAACAAACCCACTTTCCTACTCAGCCCGGAGTCATCAAACACTTTCTCTAATTTTGACCATACCTGCTTTGCTGTAGTTGCCTCCTGCACATGGACATAGTTGATAGGGTCTATCAAAAGGATTATTTTGGACCTGGCTCTTACATCCTTCTTACTGTCATATTTATAGTCGGCACCCGGTTCTATTGTTTCCCATAGNGCGCCGCAAGCCCGCCAGCTTTTCGATAGTTCCAATAGAAATTTGTGAGGCCATAATTTTTGATTGTGCTGAAAAAGCTGAAAAAATAGAAATCCTACGCGGCGCGGTTGCACTGTTGACGTTCGGTAAACTTTATCCAACTGAATCACGGAACTGTTTCGGTAAGACACTAATTTTATTATCTGAGGAACAATAATGGCCCATAACCTGTTGAATGTTCCTATTATATGATTAAATGTTTTTTTGTGTGCATGGAACGGTTCGGAACAAACTGCATTGAATCTATATTGCATGTTGTGTCAGCCTATAATTGTTGTTGCATTGTAACTTTGTTCATAATTGTTATTTTTTAATGTACATGTTGTAATGTAACAATGTTGGTAGACCTAATAAATAAATAAAAAAAATAAAATTATTTATAATATTACTGCCCTAATATCAGTTAATTTGGATTTAGGAAAAATAGAATGAAACAACAAAAATCAATAAATTATCATAAAGTTGCCTTATATCCTAAACGGGGACGCACTGGGACAAAGTTGTTACTGTATTAGCTTCTATTAGTATGACTCTTTAAAACCTATAAGTAGTCATATCTAACAAACTTTAACATTTTGAATAAGAGCCTCGTGAAGGAAACGTTGAATTTGATCTTCTTCAAACTTCAAGGGTTACGTTTTTTTCTTTTGAGTTAGGTACCTAAGCTTTTTTCAAGTTTAGGTACCTAACTAATAAATAAACTACAAAAAAGTCCTAAGTCCAACGCTGAGTTGTTCGAACCCATTCAGCTGTACTATGAACAATTTCGAGCACAGTACCTAGACAGGATGCAAGTTATTGACTTTTGAAATTTCTATCAGATGAGCAAATGTTCGGGCTATTTCAAATTCTGGGATCTAGTGGCATGTCACAGCGCGCAGCACGGGTGGTGTCGTGCGAGTGCGGCGAGCGTTGGGTGGCGCGTGTGTGTTGGGTGGCGTGTGTGTGAGAGTAGGGGCGGGTAATGACGTAGTCGGCGTAGGTGTCGTCGTGGCTCTTGCGCGGCGGGTGNCGTGTGAGAGTAGGGGCGGGTACTGACGTAGTCGGCGTAGGTGTCGTCGTGGCTCTTGCGCGGCGGGTGCACGTTGGCGTAGAGCGCGTCCTCGGCCTTGACCTTGTAGTGGTCGGCGGAGCAGGGCGGCTCGTGGCGGCGGTAGTGCTCGGAGGCCACGGTGTAGGGCAGCTCCTTGGGCACCACCTCCTCCCAGTACTGGTCCTTCAGCAGCTCGGGGTGCTCCTCGTGCATCTCGTCCACGATCATGTATGCCGCCTGCGAACGACGGTGACCATAATAATGGCAATTTTTTTATAAATAATAGCTTTTGCTGCTCAGATCACTCAATGTGTATGTATGGTTTGTAGGGCCATACATTTATCTAAGTAGAGTTGAAGTTAGTTGAAGTAGAGTTGAAGAGCACGTCGAGAAGAAAAGATCTCCAAAGTTTAAAGTTTATATTGTAGTAAAATACTGACAGAGTTATCGTGCGTGGCAAATCTTTTCTTGAGTAGTAGTGTTACGTGGGATGGTTGTTGACGTACTGAGTTATAATAAAGAAAAATACTTAAAATAGTAACTAACGCGCGCCCAAAAAGTAGGACGCAAACGTAAGCGTAAAAGTAAGTGCAATGTACGATGGCTTGCCCGTACAGTGTAAGTGCACAAAAAAGAAGGAGGAATGATACAAAAGGTGGCGGCTACTTGCGACTTACAAACCTCGTCAGCGCACTCGGGATTGGATCAAGTTTGGAGAGCGGGTTTTGTGGGCCCAATTGTAATGAGATCAGTGGGTCTAAAAATATGTAGTAAAATTTTTTCGTGCTAAAAAATATGTATAATAGTATATAAAAAAACCGGCCAAGTGCGAGTCGGACTCACGCACCGAGGGTTCCACAAAAACCTGTAAAGTATATAACTTTGATTTTGTTACAGCTTAAAGGTAACAAAGACCTGAGTATTATTTTGTGTGAATTTCAATTTAAGTACCTCTACGCTTTCATGAAGAAAGTGATAGTAAGTTAAGTTTAAAGTTATTAAAAATATTTTTTATTTTATGATGTAACAAAATGTACGGGTTTCGCAATTTTTCATTAATCTGTGCTATAAGACGTTTCTGCGTACTAAATTTCAAGATTCTGATTTCACGGAAAGTACCCGTACGTAAGTACGGGAAGTTTTGGTTCTCTTGCAAGTATCGAAAATTGAGAAAATTTGCGACATAATTTTGATTGCGTTGCGATTTTTTCACAGCTTCTAGATTGAATACCTCCACGCGTTCCTGAGAAAAAGGGTTTTGACAGACGGACAACAAAGTGATCCTTTAAGGGTTACGTTTTTTCCTTTTGAGGTACGGAACCCTAAAACCAACCCTAGGTACTTTTTTGGTCCCTGTGGCGCTAAGAGTTAAGGCCTGTTTTTTTATTATTATTAGATGAATACTAGAACTAGCTGATTCAAAGTATTTACATCCGTAACACTATTGTAAATTAAAAACGTAAAAAATCCTGTATGTTGTAAAAAACCATAACTCGAAAACTATCACAAAAGCCGCGGTGATTCGGGTAAAGTCTGGTCCGTGAGCACACTCACTGCGGGTGGCAGTCGCACAGTCGCGACAGCAATATAATTACGCGCGAGCAATAAGGATGGTTAGCTAGGGGTCATTGGACAAAATTCTACGTGCTCACGGACCGGGCTTTAGTGATGCTCTACCTCTGGGCTTTGCCTTGACGCTACTTTTTGGGACAGCCTGTATAGGCGATCGTTCTGATTAACCCGTAGTCCCGTACTCAAATTCATATTGTCAAGTCACCGTTTTCAATAACTCTATTCGCCCTAAGTGCCTCATTATTTTGTATTTGTTATTTATGTAAAAATATTATATTATATTCATCGTCATCATCATTTTCAGCCATGTAAAATTATTGTGGATATAAAGTAGGTTACTAAATTCTCCATTTTACACTATTAAGTCTCATACTCCTTTTCATAGACTGATGGTATATGTATGTATAAACTATATAAGGACAATAGTTATAGTTATTATATTTCCCTAATTTCTGATATTTATGTAGGTTTACAATATTACAACATTTTCACCACCTTATTCTCTACCATACACGTGCGTCTTCCTTCTTTTTTTTTTTCAAGCAAGAGCTGAAAATCAGTGTTCTGCTCATTTTAGAGCAGTGTCTACACTGAGCTCTCTGCTTTTTTGCATCGCTGCGGCACACTTATACCTTAGCGCGCAGGATTTTCTTTCTTTCTCTTTGTAATGTACTATATCTTTCCTGCTACTCCTGTGTTTATTAATCTTACGTTTTGCTTCTTGTGTGTCAATGTGTTTTGCAAATAAACCATTTATCTATCTATCTATCTATCTATCTAAGTCTTTCGCTCATTTAGTATTTCAGTGCGCCTAGTTTAGTAGTTAGTTTAGTTTAAATACCATCCATTTAATTTTAGATGTTTTACGACGGTGCGAAGGAAATAGCGATTAGGATCGTGTGTCGTGAGCAAGTACCTTAATGTGTCGGTCGATGAGCCAGTTGAGCTCGATGTCGTCGTCGTCCTCGCCGAAGGGGTTGATGAGCACCTCGGCCACCTTCAGCCACCCCACGTAGAAGCAGAACTGCCGGGCACAATCAATCGGGGATCATTTAACATGTCACATGCAATGAGGAAGCTTTTGCTCACGACTTCACTCGCGTGAAGGTGACAGAAAGATTTCACTCTAGAATATTAGTTGGAGAGTTTATTTCCTACAAAGAAACTCACAAACTACCTAAGAATACTTATTTATAAAATTTGAGTTGAAATGTACCAAGGTAAGCCTATTTTACCTATTTATAAAACTGGGGGCGTCGCGAAGCACCGACAACGCACCAAACTTAAGATGCTACGCCTACGCTAAAAAAAAGCATACAAATCCTTATCCTTCTCATCAGTAGCGGTTTGTTCCCAACGACCACCACTAAATCTGCCACCAGTGGTGGTGGTTGAACCGATTATCTAATACTAGCTTTTGCTCGCAGCTTCACCCGCGTGAAATTTAGTTTGTCACAGATCATCATAAATTATAGCCTATATTATGTTAATCTGGGTTATAAACAATAATACTGTAAAGTTTCATCGAAATCCGTTCAGTAGTTTTTGCGTGAAAGAGTAACAAACATCCAGTAACAAAGTTCAGTAGGAACGTTGGAGGGAATCTTCATAAAAACCNATATAAAAAATTTAAAAAAAATCTCAAAAAATGTTTGACCTCTTTTTTGTCGATAAAAATAGGTCTAGTTTCATCTATTTTCATATGTACACTTTAACGTGACTCACACTGTATAACTTTGATTTTGTTAGACCTGAGTATTATGGTATTATTTTGTGTGAATTTCAATTTAAGTACCTCTACGCGTACTTACGCGTACGCGTTCATGAGGAAAGTGATAGTAAGTTTAAAGTTATTAAAAATATTTTTTATTTTATGATGTAACTAAAAATGTACGGGTTTCGCAATTTTTCATTAATCTGTGCTATAAGACGTTTCTGCGTACCAAATTTCAAGATTCTGAGTTCACAAGAAGTACCCTGTAGGTTTTGGTTCTCTTGCGAGTATCGAAAATTGCGAAAATTTGCGACATAAACGGCTGTATCTTTTGATTGCGTTGGCTTAAGTTTGATTTTTTCACAGCTTCTAGATTGAATACCTCCACGACAACAAAGTGATCCTTTAAGGGTTACGTTTTTGGGTTCCGTAGCCAAATGGCAAAGAACGGAACCCTTATAGATTCGTCATGTCTGTCTGTCCGTCCGTATGTCACAGCCATTTTTTTCCGAAACCTCGTAAATCGTAAACCGCTTATTACCGCGTAATCTTTCATACAAATAACTTAAATTAAAAAAATAATAATTTTAATTTCATAAATCAATGGTACGGAACCCTTTGTGCGTGAGTCCGACACGCACTTGTTTCCTTTTGAGGTACGGAACCCTAAAACCAACCCTAGGTACTTTTTAGGGTTCCGTAGCCAAATGGCAAAAAACGGAACCCTTATACAGGGTGACTTTTGTATCAGTATCCAAATTTTTTCCTGACAATAGGTATCGTTTATAGATGACATTTTTAATAAAAAATAGGTAGGTCAAATTTTAACATCAACTATTTTTTTCCTAACCAATTAACACTTAAGGACTCGCTAATGGGTCTAACGGACCCAGTTCTTCAATTTTTGTATAATAACTTTTAAGAGTTTGACGTTTGCGATGTTGTCGCTCTTAGTACCATTCCACATTGTAGCACAGCCAATAGCGGTCATAATCGTCAAATAGCCCACTGCATGTGATTGCTACAGACGAAAAATGTGTTTTTGAGTCCACTGGACCCGGTAAACAAAGTGATTTTTTTTATGTTTTATACTAATTTCTCATTAATTGTTAACTGGTATAAGTAGGCAAATTATAGTAGCTTACGAAAATAAACAAGGAATTTTTTTAAATAATTAATTACAGAATTTTTCAAAAATAACCCTTATTTTGCCGAAAAACCTTAAATTTTTTAAATAAGTTGTTATTTTAGAATAAGGCAATAAATATGACTATTTGATTTATTATTTTGTCTTTGTTTATATCATATTATCCTTCTAATAAACTAGTTTTCACTTTTATTAAGAGTTTTAGAAAAATACATAGGATTTCATATACTGGGTCCAGCGCACCCGGTAGCGAGTATGAATGTTACAAATTAAGGCGCGAGTCCTCAAGTGTTAATAACGTAGTGTGGTTACCGCGCTTAGCGCGTAAACATTTTGCGGGAGAGCGGGTCGAGCGGAGAGCTGTTACACAATTGGACGTAGTTATGCTACAACGTTCCAACCCACAAGGTGGTCAAAATTGAGTTTTCGAGCCCAAGCTAGGTATTTTGGGTCACCCTATCTAGTGCTGAAGACACTGACTCTATTACGACAATAATTAATGAAATAATTAAGCGGTCCCAATGATAAAACGATCCAAAAGATCTAAATAAAATCTTATAATGTGACATTCCATTTGGAACGTTATGTTTTAATTCGTTTTGGACTGAATACAATGAAAATAATGATCCAATCATTTTGGAACGTTTTACAAATAACTAATTTTAAATGTTAAAAAGTGACATTCCATTTGGATCGTATGGTTTTAATTCGTTTTGGACTGAATAAAATAAAAATAATGTTCCAATGTACTTGGAACGTTTTTAAAAAGGCTTTTTGTTTGAAAGTGGCTTTTAACTTAATTTGCAAAAACGTTCCAATGTGTGAAAATAGTTATAATATTATTTTGGTAGTTAATATATTTATACATTTTTTTTCTAAAATATAAGTATAANTTTCAAAATTTAATTAGGAGCGCGGTACGTGCGTGCGGCGCGGTGTCTGACGGCGAGTGAGAGGAGAACGGCGAATGTATGAATACGCCGAACGATGCTCGGGCGCCCTTCAGTGGGGGGCGGAGTTTTGTGCGTTGACAAACGTATTTTGTTAAAACTTTACAGTATTATTGTTTATTTTAACCCAGATTAACATATAGGCTATAATTTATGACGATATGTGACAAATAAATTCCAATATAGATGACCCACGCTGAACTGTCCCACCAAACTCAATGACAGGGGGGCGCTACCATCGTTCAACTATATGGTTTCCAACATGGCAAAAATCTGAACCAGCGATCCAGTATTGATTGACGGTGGCGCCCCACTGTCAATGTCATCGACAGGACAGTCCAGTATTTTGGAACTATAAATAAATAAGACGTCTAAAAAGCGCCATCTATCGTCATTGGTCAAAATCTACAGCGCTGGACAAACTACTGTTTTGTTCAGGCTTTATCTATCACCATGATATCTAACGGGGGTAAAACGAGGTCCACGCGTACGAAGTCGCGGGCGGCCGCTAGTTTATAATATTAGTAGGATTTCTCGCATTTTAAATTGTAACCCACCTGGAGGGCCGTGAAGAGCGGGAAGTAGACGTCGGGCTCGTACTTGGAGGTGCTGCCCGGCGCCGCGGGCACCAGCTGCCGGCCCATCAGCGCCGCCACGAAGTACGTGTACAGCGCCAGCGTCACCACCTGCCGCGTCAACAACCACATTACTGTCCAGCGGCTCAAGAGAGGCGCGTCGTAACAACGACAGCTGGACTGACCTGCGTGTAGACCAGCGGCACGCAGACGGTGTCGTAGCCGATGAGCGCGCCCAGGCGGCGCCGGATGTCGGAGAGCTCCACGAGCAGCGTCTGCACGATGTGGTCGCTGGAGATGAGCCCCTCCTTGCGCGCGCGGTTGATGATGTTTGTGGCCCACACCAGCGGCATCCAGTACTTCGACATCGGGCTCTTGCCGTCCATTTTCTCGAACACTTTGCGCTCGCTTTCCAGCATCAGACCTGCAACGTTACAACTGCTTCTTCATACAAGTTTTTCACAAGTTTCATATTTATTTCGCAATTATTTATTGGTTTTAAAACATAAAAACTTGTATGTGACTACGAATGTATGAAAAACGAAGGTAACAGAGACTGTGTGGCACACAAAAGATTATTTTATTGGTAGTGCCAGTGAGTATTTTACGACTTCAGTAAACATAATGTGTAAAGCGCACACATGTCCAACAAAAACTGGATAGTTAAGTATTGTGTGTGACGGCTGCGTTGTGTTTATGTAGTATGTAAGCAGCGAAGTGAGATGACATACTCGTAGCTCGTATGGCAAGGATTTGGTCGGAAAGCACTCAACGAGGGTCGTGCGTCGCATACTGACCGGAGTCGACGACGTGCTGCCACGTGGGGAAGCGGCGCTTGACGCGCAGCGACACGCGCTGCAGCGTGATGACGTAGGCCAGGATCATGTAGCGCACGATGTTGCGCCGCATCAGGCGCCCCGTCTCGTCCTGCAACCACGCACACGCTCACTCTCTGCCAGCGCTCGCTGGTGCTGCTACACAACACTACCCGCGGGCATATCTCAACCCTTTGGGTACGGAATCCAAAATGAAATTACAATAACTATAAAGACAATCGAATCGTAAACTAAGTATAATTCACTCCACTCTAAGTGAAGTGGAATATGGCATGCTAAGTATGTATAGGTCGCCCAACGAAAGTTGATGCAAACAATAAATTTAATTAAACTCACACTGATATTAGAATTCACAGTACGATGATACGATACACAATCCAGTGCGATGAGAAGGAGTGGAAAGAAGAAGCGTATTAATTTAGAGGTACGTAGTAGACGCGAGTGAGTCGAATCGAGGAGTGAAACTATATTGAGATTGAGATTTCCAGGTAAGAAGGAGAATTAAGATTGTTTAAGATTGAAAAAAGTATAAGGATTCTACTCGTAAGTTTTCGCCGAAGAGGGACAGGTAACCATTAGAGCTTAGGACTGGTATGAGAAAATGTGGTCATTTGCGCAAGCAAAACATGAACCGGAAACAGTTGTTGAGAATCTTATGGACCTGAATTTCGTTCAGGACCCCGATTACGTTAATTTGGTAATGTCTCCAATTCATTTGCGTTTCATCTGCAGCCGCGCGCGACCCTCTCCATTTTCGCTCCAGCTGATGTGCAATTCGATATCATGGTAAAGTTCACGCGCTAACAAAGACGAAACAACAGTTTCCATTAAAGTCCGAAAACCTTATTTTTGAAACTAAAATTATTAAATTTAATTTCAGCAAATGTTCGTGAAGCGTTTGACGATGTTTTATCGTGTAACGCTACATTTTTACTAACCCTAAACTATCAGCTGTCGATTAGGCCCCTCGCCCACGGCGAATTTTTGTAGCGATGCAGTAGCGGTTCTGTTGCGCGTTCGCATCGATTCAGTTGCAATGCGGTCTCTAGCTGTGTGCCCTCGCTCACATAAAAACGATTCAGTCGTGATGCAAACGTGATACTGTCGCGATGCAAACGCGATTCAGTAACCCTCCCTCCGTTCTCTACCTGATGTCGTCCGACACGGTCGCGCGTTTGCATCGATAAAGTCGCGATGCAGTTGCGCGTTGGCATCGCTTCTGTAGCGCGATGCAAATGCGACTAACGCGCGACAACCACACTACAAAAAGTCACCGTGGGCGAGGGACCTTAGTTTTATTTTTAGGGTTGTCAACACATTATTGCTTAATGGTGGCAAATTAAAATTGAGACACTCTTTATAAATCACTCCATGTTGTGACATGGCAAGTCAGCGGCCAGTCTAGGCCCCGAAAAATAACCGAGAGGTAAAGCCATAGGTACAACACTTGCCCTTATGCATTACACTGGTTCAACATTATTCTGTGGCAAAACTGTTGATTTCCTACGTGTGGTTTTCTATATTTTGATACTAGTGATTTTGACGTGTACAAAAAATACAAAATTACATCAAAATCAACGTTTAGAAATATTTAAAAACTTTCTTTTCCGCGACTTTCGTCAATGAGGTGTAGTGGAACAATCGCGTTGCATCCACCAGCAGTAGTTAGCCATCATTTATGCCGATCCTATTGTGCCCTGGTACATCTCTTCCAATGGTTTTTATACAGGGTGATAGGTGAGGACTAGACCTATCGATTTCACTCCCATATATGTTCTACGATTTTTCGTAGTTTAGAAGTTATCGTTAATTTTGTGATTTTTTTTAAATATGACCTTGTAGGAAATCTGAACTGTGGTCGCTTACTACGGGCCTCATAAGAAGGCTCAAGGTCACCCAAAGGGCGATGGAGCGGGCTATGCTCGGAGTTTCCCTGCGTGATCGAATCAGAAATGAGGAGAAAACGCAGGAGAACCAAAGTGACCGACATACCTCGCAGAATTGCTAAAATCAAGTGGCAGTGGGCGGGGCACATAGCTCGTAGAGACGATGGCCGTTGGGGCAGAAAAGTTCTCGAGTGGCGACCACGGGCTGGAAGACGTAGCGTGGGCAGGCCTCCTACTTGGTGGACCGACGATCTGGTGAAGATCGCGGGAAGAGCCTGGATGCGGGCAGGGCAGAACCGTTCATTGTGGAAAACCTTGAAACGAACGAACGAGGCTTTACTTTTTTTTTATCTTTTTATGTGTTGACTTTTCTCAGATTTCTTTTTTTTACTGATTCGTTATATGTATTTCAGATGTTTGAAAAAAATAATCACCTTCCTATCTTTGATACAAGATACAATTTTTTTGCTAGAAACACACTTAAATATTATGCTTTTAGCAGAACACTATTGAATTTTCATCTTAAAAGTTTAAATAAAAAAAAGAACTTCCATAGGCCCAAAACCATTTTAAAAACTGCGCAGTTTCCTGAACATTCATATTAATACAAAAAACATGTACTTAAAGGGGCACTATTTCCTGTAATCGCTCCACTAAAGTGGTAAGTCGGAACTTAGAGTTTACATTTAGAGACAATAACTGAACAGAACATGTTTTTATTTTCAACGAGGAAGTTTTTTCCCTTCATCACACCTGGTGGAAACTGATGATCAGGCTGAAGGTGGAACCTCAAGTACAGAGGAACTATGGCTTCCTACCTCCAAATGCAAATGACATCGACCACAAGAGGTTGAGTTTGATTTAATACACTTCCTTCTTCAATTTATTACTTGACTTGACGTGGTATCTGGGACTTCGTTTATCAAGCGTGTTTATCTAGCTAGGACCTGTTTTATTAACCTTCCTCTTTCGATATATTTCAGGGCATATTGTGGGAGCACAACTCGGACTTTCTTCCTCGTCAGATTTTTTGTTTCCCATAAAATGTTTACTACAAATTGTGTCGTCAGGTTTGGGATACCATGGCGACCCATCAACACTAAAACAATAATGACAATAATAAATATCACATAAAATATAGCGCAAATAAAAATATTTAAAGGTTAGGAAATATAACTTACACCGACTACGAGTATTTTTGTGGTGAGTCCACTCGTAGCACAAGCTTATTTAGCTTAACACGAGAGGCTAACGGGACTATTAGTAATTTGTGCAATACAAATTGCTAATAATCTTTTTTTAAATGGCAAAAATATGTATTAATAGGAATTTTTAAATGTTTTTATTTATTGCGAACTCTGTGCAAATTGACTTTACTTTCCCGGATTTTTGCGTATTTCTGCTTTCAGTATCTTTTATTAATGTTCTTATTTGTAGGCCATCCAAAATTACCTTTTTGTCTTTTCAACCGACTTCAAAAAAAGGAGGAGGTTCTCAATTCGACCCGTATGTTTTTTTTTCTTTGCTCAAACCCATGAACTTCTACATGCTCAAACCAGGATTTTATTTTGTTCGCTCCATTGCAACGACGAGTTATTGGAACGCTGCCGCCTGCGCGCCGCAGGTGGAAGTGGATCGGCCACACAAGCAGGCTCTGGATAGGAACCACTAAGGAAAACGCAAACGTGTTTGCCCCAAGCAAACTTGGCGGCGCACTGTAGCAGACGAGGTTAAGAAAATCGGCAAGACTAGGAGCGAGATCAAACGCGAAGCTCAAGACCGAACGCGACACGCAGACAAGACACAAAGATTGAACGAAAGCTTGTGTGCACCGTCCGACACGTTCGTGCTCGAGGAGCCGCGAGGCGCGCTGCACGAAGAATAGTGACCGACCGAATATTCGTTTTCGTTTTCGTTTTCGGCCATTTTCGGCCAAAAAATGGACATTCGGCCATATTTTCGTTTTCGGCCAAAAACCAGCCGAAGCTTCGGCCAAACCGAATATCAGAAATACGTAAACAAGATGGTGACGTTTATCGTTCTGATATCTTCGGGAGTGAATCTGGTGCACTCATGAACGGACTCCCAATCAGACTTGAACGGACGCGGTATTGTCACACTCTTTTGAAGTTGTGAAGTGAGGTTACGTTGTAAACGGTGTCCAGCGAGAATTTTCCAAGTTCAAAATTTGAATACAAATAAAACCAAAGAGTTTTCATTAAGTTTAATTGTTTCAAAATAGAGTAATGCGGATTTGAAATACGCCATGAGTCACTGATCGGGAGCCTACTGAGCGTTCGTAGTTGAGCAATAAGTATTTGAAATGTAGGTATGATCGATGAATTTTGGATACCACAACTGCAACTGCATCCCGGACAACTACGGAACTCTATTTTAGCAAGAAGGTGTCTCACCACACACGGAGAGGACCTCGATGGAGACACTGAGGACTATTTATAAGTCACTGATCGGGAGCCAACAGAGCGTTCGCATTTGAGCAATAAGTATTTGAAATGTATTGTCGAATGATCGATGAATGTCGGATACCACAAATGATCAGCAAGTACAGTGACATACCCTAGCCGCCTTGGTCACCAGATCTCACACCGTGCGACTTTCTCTTGTGGGGATATCTCAAGCAAAAGTTGACAGCAAACTACCCTTAAATAATTCAGGTTCTGTAAAAAAATATCCGCCGAGAAGTTGCAGGAAAATTATTAGCACGATTTGCTTTCGAATAGTTGCGAATGTAAGGGTCCGGCTGTGAGAGTGCCTATAGTAAAACGAGCATCATTTAAACGACATTGCAATCCGCATTGTTAAACTCCATTTTGCATTAGTAATAAATAATAAAAAGTCATAAGATTTATTTGCATTCATTTTTGAAGTTGAAAAATTCCCACTGGACACCCTTTATTTCTTAACTTCACTTCCCAATATTTCAATATACACCGGAAATAATATTCTACTAAGAATTCATAATAATTTTTTTAGTGTTTTAATGCCGGTTTTCTTTAATCAATTTTTATCAAAATCAACTGTCAAACGTCATTATGTTTTTGGTCAAAACATTAATGGTTTTCAAAGTTTTTACATAGGTAATTTCATATTGTTTACAAGATATTATTTGATCACAGATTGAAATTTGAGAGTTGAAGGTCATTTTCGTTTTCGTTTTCGTTTTCGGCCGAAAATGAGACTGCAG